GGGCTTTAATGGGTGACAACTTTTGCCTTTCCAAAGTTATTTTAGCTCCAGGGTGCTGCTTTTTTCCCATCCCATTTCTCATTCTTTGATAAAATTATCCTGCCCTGATAACATATGATCTGCCATGCAGTAGCATAAGCATTTTCCCACTGTGAGAGCCCAGCTGATTGTGGTTATCTTACAGGGATCTGGAAAGAGAAAAGCCTTCATGGGAGGGAAAAAAATTTGTAGGGACTAATTATGCCCCAAAGCAAACAGAAAGTGCTCTCAAGTTAAAGGACTCAGAGATTCCAGTGATTTTTAAAGCCAGATAATGCCATTTCACTACATTTCCTTCATAGTAAAGGATTAATAAATTTTTTAAATACATATTGCATATCTAAATCTAGAATTATCTAGATTAAAACCTATCTAGATTAAAACCTATTTAGATTAAAACCTATTTAGATAGGAAAAGCTATTTTATTTCCATCCCATCTCTTGCAGGGTTTCATGGGGCTCAGTCCTGCAGGCCAGGGTTGGTGCCATCCCCCTCCATAAAGTCCCAAGGGAGACTGAGCAGAGCAGACTTTCCCTGGTGCTGAGGGCTAAGGATTGTCAGGGCATCCAGCAGCCTGAGATGCTACCTGGATCCCCACAGTTTGGGAATGTTGTCCCAGGGACTAAACTTGAGCTCTCAAAGTCTTTTACTTTGCTTCAGAAGGGATCAATCTAATTAACACAAGTAACAAAGCCGCTCACAGCACTCTATAAATAGGCTGGTGGGTTCTGACACAGCTCCTGGCTATGCCAAGAAATGAGACTAATAATAGCTGCTTAACAATGAAGTTCAGGGGGCTGGAGAGATTAGGCAGAGAAAATGCCAGGATGGGCTCAACCCTGCCATGGAAATCAGCTGGGGAAGCGTGGAATCATAGACTCCTGGAATGCTTTGGGTTGGAAGGGACCTTAAAGCTCATCCCGTTCCACCCCCTGCCATGGGCAGGGACACCTTCCACTAGCCCAGGTTGCTGCAAGCCCCGTCCAACCTGGCCCTGGACACTTCCAGGGATGGGGCAGCCACAGCTTCTCTGGGCAACCTGTGCCAGGGCCTCCTCACCCTCTGCAGCATCCAAACAGGAGGCCAAGGAAGTGCTGCTGGAGGGAACGGCTCAGCATGGGGGGCACGGAGCCCATCACCGCCACATTGGCAGGTCCTGCTCCTGAAGACAGTTTGGAGACTACGGAGCCAAGCGATGCTTTTTCCGGATAAAAAGCAGAGATTTCTCCCAGAGCCAGGGTCAGGGCCCTGGCAGCACCCCCAGTCCTGCACCTCAGCCCCTCGTGCTCCCCAGCCCCTTCCCCTCCCACCGCTCCTGCTGCCAGGGAGAAATTCCCAGCTGGGCTTTTGTCACCGACGCACACGTGTTTCTGCAGGAAGTTTCTATTTCTGTGAATAGCAATTTTTCAAGCAGCTCCTCCCCCGCCTGCTCCCCATCAGCAGGAGCCCTGACGAACGCCGCTGGCATGCCTGGAAGCTGCGATTCACTCCTGCGTGCCAGCCCCGGACAGAGCCTCCATCCCCCGCCCTCCTATCCCACAGCCTGTCCTGCAGCTCCACGTCATGGGAATTACGCTCACGGTGTCTCGCAGAGGGTCAAATGGAGCCGGGACCGCTCCATGTGCCGCGCTCCCGGTGCTCACCGTGTGCCCTGGGACAGGAAGGGGCTCCGAAGAGGGGAAGGAGCCCGGGAGAGCCAAGCCTGCTTAAAGTCCCCAGAACAGCTCGGGGGAGCACCAGGACTCCAGGAACATCCTGGCATGTCCAAATGGCCACAGTTCTCACAGACCCAGCTGTGCAGAGGAGCCAGCAGATGATTTTTGTCTTTGATAAAACCCAAGCCCCCCCAGTGCTAGAGCCAAGTCCCGCAGTACTGAACCAGTCTCCAGCCCCATTGCTGCCCTCCTGATGTACCCCCTGCTCAGGGTGAGCCTCCCAGTTTGGGACCAGGGACTTTAAGGTCACTTTGTACCCACTGTTTCCATTAGAAGACACCACCTGCAATACTTGCCTTGGATCTCCATCCAGCATAATTAATGGCTGCAATTGTCATAGGAATATTAATTGCTGAAGAAGGGGGGTGCAGGGGGGCCAGGGCAGAAGCAGTGGCTGTGGGATGAGCTCTCTACTGTGGATCACTGCCCATCTTCCTCACTGCACCCACGGGGTGTGGCTTTTTCCCCGAGGGAGGTGAAGTCAGAGTGCTGTGCGCTGGCTCCAAGGACCATGGTGATTTCTCCATCCCAGCAGTGGGACAGGGAAAGGCACTGACACCATCTGGATGGCTTCCATGCATCCAGGCCATGCTTTCTCAGCATCTGTGCTGCTGGGCACAGAGCTGAAATGAAAGGAAACAACCCAAACGGTGCTGTTCTGCTGCACTAAAAGCAATATTTAGCATTCCCACTGCTGTTTCAGGCGGGAATGTGGCCTTAGAGGCTGGAATTATCAAAAGCAGCCCTGGGAAGGAAAAACAGCTGGACAAACTGCTGACTGCAGCTGCCTCGCAGGCAAATAAAGTGAGTGCTCCCAGAGCGAGTGGCACAGGGGGAATGAGCTGTCTGCTCTAAAGGATCAAGAGACCAAATTCCCCTTGCTGGACACGAACCCAGTGGCACAAGCAGCCAGAGTGGGGCTGGAGAGTCCTGCTGGGGTGTGCAGGAGGTGAGATCCCAGGGGAATATCTCTGAGGTGCTGTAGAACTGCTTGCTATAGCGAGCAGCATTGCATCGCAAAGAGTCACTTAAGCCAAACCCCGGACCTTTCAGCAGAAAGAAAATCAGGAATATGTGAACCGTCTGTTTTGTAAAGAAATAACCTTCAGGGTTTCCTCTGCTGCAACCTCAAGAAATTCCACAGCTGCTGCTGCGTGGGAGGGACCCTGGGGAGCATTTTTCCCCTCTGCATGAGGCTGATGCTCAGGGCTGGCTGCAGACCCCGGCTGGGAAGGGCTGTGTGGAGCAGCACACGCTGCAGCCCCCCTGCCCCATGCACCCAGAGCCCCTCACTCCGTCCCCTTCCCGGTCTGCCATAAATGTTCCTGAGTTCTTACAAATCCTTGTATTTTCCAGAGGGGCTGAGACCTCAGTAGCCCTATCCCAGAGGCCTCTGAAGCTGCTTGAAGCACTCTGCAAGGGGCAGAGGGGATGTGCCAAGAGGCATTTGCTGCTCCTGGAGGTTATTTTTTACTCCTAATTAATGCAGAAAAAATGCAGGTCTGCCAAGGGAGTAAAAATATTCCTGTTTTCGAGATCCTGGACAAGCAAAGGAAAAGCAATGCAGACTCTTCTAAATGTCTGCAGGCATCATCTCCCTGGGCCTGGCTCCTGTTTAACACCCACTGGGACTCTTGGGAGGTTCCTGCCCTGGCTGTGGCTGCTGGGGACACATGAGGGGCTGAGCCACAGCCCCTGTCTGGCTTCTGCTGCTCCTCCTGTGACACAGCCCAGCACGGAGACCCCCAGCACAGGGACCCAGGGACCCCCAGAACGTCCAGGGCCAGATGTGGGACAAGCAACAGGGCACTGGAGGCCTGTGTCTCTCCCTGTGTCCCATCCTGGGCCAGAGCAGGGAGCACTGGGAAGCACTGGGGAGTACTGGGGCTCTGTGTCAGGCCAGAACAAGGAGCACTGGGGAGCCATGCCCCTCCTGGTGCCTCATCCCACACTGGAGTGGGGAAAACCAGGCCCTGCCAGTGCCCCATCCCAGGATGGAGCAGTGGGGCCCTGGTGTCCTGGGTCCTGCCCCATCCAGTCCTGAACGAGGAGCACTGGAGAGCTGTATCTCTCCTGTTGCCCCATCCCAGGCTGGAATGGGGAGCACTGGAGAGCACTGGATCCCTCCCAATGCTCTGTCCCAGGATGGAGAGGGGAGCACTGGGGGTTGTGTCCGTCGCGGGCAGGAATGGGGAGCACTGGTGAGAACCGTGTCCCTCCCGGTGCCCTCCCATCCCGGCTGGAGCAGGGAGTGCTGTGGAGTGTCAGGGAGCACTGTGTCCTCCCCAGTGCCCTGTCCCGGGATGGAGCGGGGAGCACCGGCGAGCCGTGCCCCTTCCCGCTGCTGCGTCCCAGGATGGAGTAGGGAGTACAGAGGAGCCGTGCCTCTTCTCGGTGCCCCGTCCCGGGATGGAGCGGGGAGCACTGGGGAGCGCCCCGGTGTCCCGTCCCAGGGCGGAACGGGGAGGGGCTGGGGTCCCGGTCCCTCCCAGTGCCCCGTGCTGTTCCGGAGTGGGGCAGTGCGGGTGTGAGCGGGGCGGTGTGGAGTGTGCGAGGCGGTGCAGGGTGTGCGAGGCGGTGCAGGGTGTGCGAGGCGGTGCAGGGTGTGCGCGGCGGTGCAGGGTGTGAGCGGTGCGGGGTGAGCGGTGCGGTGCGGGGCGTGAGGGGCGGTGCGAGGTGTGCGAGGCGGTACAGGGTGTGCGGGGCGGGGCGGGGCGTGAGGGGCGGTGCGGGTGTGCGAGGCGGTTCGGAGTGTGAGCGGGGCGGTGCGGGGTGTGCGGGACGGTGCAGGGTGTGCGGGGCGGTGCAGGGTGTGCGGGGCGGTGCGGGGTGTGCGGGACGGTGCAGGGTGTGAGCGGGGCGGTGCAGGGGGAGCGGGGCGGTGCGGGGCGTGAGGGGCGGTGCGGGGTGTGCGAGGCGGTTCGGAGTGTGAGCGGGGCGGTACAGTGTGTGCGGGGCGGTGCGGGGGAGCGGGGCGGTACAGGGTGAGCGAGGCGGTTCGGAGTGTGAGCGGTGCGGTGCAGGGTGTGCGGGGCGGTGCGGGTGAGCGGGGCGGTGCAGGGTGAGCAGGGCGGTGCGGGGCGGTGCAGGGTGTGCAGGGCGGTGCAGGGTGAGCGGGGCGGTGCGGGGCGGTACAGGGTGTGCGGGGCGGTGCAGGGTGTGCGGGGCGGTACAGGGTGAGCGGTGCGGTGCAGGGTGTGCGGGGCGGTACAGGGTGAGCGGGGCGGTGCAGGGTGTGCGGGGCGCGGAGCGGCGGGCGCGAAGATGGCGGCGGGCAGGCGCGCCCCCCGCACCGGGCTGCTGGAGCTGCGCGGCCCCGGCGGGCAGTGGCTCCGCGTCCTGCTCACCCTGGCCGAGGACGTGCTGGGGGTCAGCCCTGCCGACGGCCCCGGCCCCGGCCCCGAGGCCCCGGCGGCGGCGCAGCTGAACGGCGGCGAGCCGGGCTCCGCCGCGCCCGAGGCGCTCGCCAACATCAGGAGAACCGTGCGCGTCGTCAAGCAGGACGTGGGGGGGCTCGGCATCAGCATCAAAGGTGAGGCCGGGATGGGGGGGGGGGTGTCTCCGGGCGGCGGGGACAGAGAGGCACCGGCACCGCGACCTGTTGCTGCCGCCGTTCCGCGGCTCGCTCGGAGCTGGGGTCGGGGTCCTCACATCCCCCCCAGCCCCTGCGCGGGATGGGGAGGGGGACGCGTGGCACTGACGAGACCCCCTACGGAGGGGGCGATGTTCGGGGTACAGGGGGGAGCGGCCAGCCCTGCCCGCCGTGCCCCGGCCGGAGTGGGGGTCCCCGGCGTTTGGGGGCTGGAGGGGACGGATTCCCACTGTCCCCCCGCGCCCACGGGGAGGGTGCTGTCTCAGGAGGCAGGTGGGGTGCAGGGGGCACCCAGTTATACAAAAGCTGCCCTTTTGCAGCCACAGCGAGGGCTCTGCCGGCGTGTCCTTGTCCCCCCGTGTCCCCGAGCTGGGAGATGCCCTTTTAAACTATCAGATAAACGACGTAAAGCCCTTGGAGATCTCCAGGCTCTGGGGCTGTTAAACCAACGCACTCGGGCTTGGAGACGTCTGCTCCCGGGAAGCCGAGCAGCGGGAAGCCTCCCTATTGTAATCCCTGTTTTCCTTCCCAAACTGCCTTGGTGACTCGCCTGAACTTCAGGCTGGAAACTTCTTGGGGCAGGGAAGTTTCGCGCGGCTCCGAGCGTGGTGGAGAGGAGGATGAAAAGGGCAGCGAAGAGGCAGGGAAAGGTCTGTCACGGAGCGTGGCTGTGAGGGGCCGTAACTCCGTGTGCGGGCAGGACAGGCAGCGGGCTCGGCAGCCCCGGGGGCAGCAACAGGGCAGCTCTCGCCTCCTGACGTGGCTTCTCCTCACAGCTCAGAGGAGACGGACGCAGCCTCCGGCTCCCTCTGAAGTCGGGAGGTTTTGCTATGTGGATATCTGGGTGCTGGAACTGGATCGACACTGCTGGCCGTATCTCCAGGGTGCCCCAGCCTGCCAACCCTTTTTTTTTTTTTTTTGGAAGCATAAAACCCCCTCCGTAAGGACCCTTTGGCTGCCAAGTTACTGATCTCTGTGGCTCTCCCAGGAAAGGAGAAACTACACTTGGTTCAGTCAAGACTTTATTTTTGCAGTGACGTATGTGGAAAAGAAGTAGTTGCCATCAGAACTGGGCAGTAGAAGCTGTTGTGAGTGGTGGGGCAGCTCTGGTAGGACAGGACATCATTCCTCCTCTCCAGGCTGCTGGCACGTCCCTGTTTGTGCAAGTGCCAACCGCGTTTCACCCGGGGATGCTTCCCTGCCTCCCGGGGCATGGGTGAGGTGTCCTGCCATGGGGTGTGGTGAGGGTCTGGGTGCCGGGGGTGCTGGGCTGGCAGGACAGCAGAACACTGAGCTAGAGCTGTGCTGGCCGAGGCTCTGGGCCCTGGCAGGACTCTCGGTGCTGGCAGCTGGGCCAGGAGCCGCTGCTGCAAGGACGGAGCAGCCCCCGCCGGGGCCTCTGACAGCTGATAACCGGAGCCCTCGCAGGGCTTGGCAGGCGGCTGAGCGAGGAAATGCCTGTGGCACTGGCTGGGAGCAGCCCCGGGGCGGGCAGTGACAAGAGGGTGGGCTCAACCTCTCCCTCTGGGGTGAAGATCATCTCTGGGAGGCTCCTCGGGACAGGCTGTCCCGGGGCGCAGGGCATCTCGGGGGCTGCTGATCCCCGGCTGCCGTGGGCAGTAGCTGCTGCATCCCTGCTCCCTGGCACGGAGGCAGCTCGGATCTCCTGGCGGGTTCAAAAGTTAACGTGCAAATTGATCTCCCGAAGCCGCCGGGAGTTTGAATAGCATTCTTTTAGTCAGGAGAGCAGCAGGTAAGATAGGGCTACTGTGCTGAAAGGAACACGCAGCCAGGTTGGTTCACCTCTCCCTGACTCTTTGGCCTCTCCAAAAACGTTCAGCTGTCTTATCTGTTGAGATCATGAAGTCCTTGGAGCAAGGATGGTCTCTCAGCACACATGATTAATAATGCAAATAAAATCATGCTTTCCTGCCAGAATTGATGGGGAGATGGCCAGGTTTACGTGTTCGCTCTGTGACTAATCTGTGATCATTCCTAGTGGTTTTGGAGCAATCACTTCATCTGCTGTAAAGCCTGGTGGTAGTTTGGCTGCTGTGGTTGGTACAGGTGTCCTGTGGGCATCTGGGGGAATGAGCAGGGGGTTGACCCAGCACAACTGAGTGCCAGGAGAAGGGCTCAGCCTCACCAGGACCATCTGGTGCCGGAGCATCCCCCTCCCCACCTGCTCTCCATGAGCTCCAACAGCCACAACTGCTTCCTGTCTCTTCTGTTTCAAGGTGGCCGAGAGAATAAAATGCCCATCCTGATCTCCAAGATCTTTAAGGGGCTGGCAGCAGATCAGACTGAGGCGCTGTACGTGGGGGATGCCATCCTCTCCGTCAATGGCACCGACCTGTCCGAGGCCACGCACGACGAGGCCGTGCAGGCCTTGAAGAAGACGGGCAAGGAGGTGGTCTTGGAAGGTAAGAGACAAGGGTGCAAGGAGTGACAAGGGTCCTTCCGTACTGGGATGGCACTGGGGTGGCCTATCAGACACGTGAGCCACTGCTCAATGTCCAGCAGCTCCATCTCTCTGCTACAGGACTGGGGTCAGGCAGTGGTGGGAGGTGTGGGACAGGTTTCTGGGGTTTTGGACTCTTGTGTTGTACAGCATTACCCCAAGGCCTGCAGTTCCTAGGGCAATAGAAAACATTTTCTGCTTTCCCCCCAATTTTGATTTAAACCCACATCTCTGGCTGGGATTTTGGCAGTGGGAAGGGGGTGTGCTGGTCCCCTGCTCCTGCTGAGCAGCTTTGGATTTCCTGGGTGGCTTTTGGGCAGGCAGGAGGAGCAGGTGGAGGGTGAGGCAGGACCAGCTCAGGGGTGCAGCTGCAGGAGCTGCCCACCCATGGGATCCCTGGCAGCTGAACCCCAACTGCAGCTCCCCCCAGATTTGGCAGATGAGGCTACAAACATCCCAGGGATGCAGCTTCCTCCATCCTGGGAGGGACTGGAGCTGGTCCCCTCGGAATGGGCTCCTTCTTGCTACTGGGTAGCCAGTCCCAGTGTCTCCCAGCCCTGCAGGAGCCCCCCAGCCCCACTTGAGGAGTGGGTGAGGGCCGGTGGGTTGTGGCCATGGGAGTGCTGAGGGAGAGGCCCCATTCTTTTCCCATTGTCTTTCACATCACATCTGTCCATGTTTGCCCACCCTCTGCCAGCTTGGCCAGGCTGGGATGAGCACCCCAGATTTGCCCCTCAGGACAGGACCCTTCCCCTTCCCTCTCTTCCAACCAGCCCATAGGATTGCCCTGGTTAACCATGAGGGTCTTGGCACCAAAGACCCTTCCCAGTGCAGATCCCAAAGGGAGGTTTGATTTGGGGGCAGCTCTCTGGGCTGTCCCTGGACAAAGAAACAGTTCTGCGTGCTCTGCTGCCAGCAACCACCGTGGTTCCTGCTTTCCTGTGCCTTCCCCAGATTGTCTCAGCTCCAGATTTTCATTTTTAGCTTCGCTCAGCCCTTTCTGCTGTGGGTTCCTCCTCTCCTGGGAGCCGCAGGACCACGATTCAGCCCGAGGAATGTGCTGCTCTGCACAGCTGCTGGGAGCAGATAGGGTTGGTGGTGGGGTGGTTTTGTTGTTTTTTTCTGACCAAAGAGAAATACAAGAGCCTCTTTCTTTGTGAGTCTGCGAAATTCCTCCCCCTAGCCGCTGTTCTTGGACCACCCTCTCTTTCTTATTTTCTGTCCATCCTTTACTTTGGTGTGGGTTTCCTTTCTGTGAAAGGTCCTGCCGGAGGTGGAGATGAGCTGCCCTTTCTGTAGAGAACAATTTCTCTCCCTGAACCCCCTCGTCCTCCTCCTCCTCCATCCCCTGGGAGCCGGGCACTGCCAGGTTGCTCTCCCTTGAGGCAGCTGCAGACAGGGCCTTTGCTGGAGCTTGCTGAGCTCAGGTATGACCTGCTGGGCTTCTTAATTAATTAAAACTCCCAGCAGGTACCTTGGGAGCAGAGTGAGGCAGGGCTGGCTCCCACCACAGCACTCTGGAGGCTCTGGGATAAGTTGGTAGCTGATGCTGTTGGAGTTCTGCACTGTGGTGTTGCTTGGGGTGCTCCAGGCAACAGCTGGAGCAGGGAGTGGGTCTCTGCTGCTCATCTGATCACAAATGTCATCCGTAAACATGGTGCATCTCCATGCCCTCCCTGTTGTGGGTTTGCTGGCACAGTACAGCCCTTCCCCTGGAGGATGGCTGGGCTGGCACTGTGCCAGTGTTCCCATCAGGCTGTCACTGCCCTGTGGAGTGGATGGCCCTGCCTCAGGAAAGGGTGTCCCCTGCCTTGTACCTGCCATCCTGGTGGCTCTCCAGGAGCTGCTTTGCCAAGCATCCTGCCCTGGGGAAGAGTGGCAGGGCTGGAGGGCAGGGGATGGCCTAAAGGTGCCTGAAGGGTGTTAAAGGGGGGTTCCCTGCTCTCTTCTCCTGCTTGGACTTGCTCTTGAGTTTGGAGAAAAACACCTTAGCATCACTTAGACACTTCCTGGTCCCTGCATGCTGCCAAGTGTGACTCCAGGTTTCCTTATGGTGCTGTAAGTATCAAAACAGAGTAGTTTGGCACAGCCAGTGTCTGCTACCTTGCTACAGTCATTCCTGGGATTAGGAGTTTTTTTGGATACCTTGCAAGTGGCACTGCAGCACTCTGGGAGAGCTGGCACCTCCTTACAGGGCAGTGAGCTGGGGTGGGACCCTCCAAAGCAGCAGAGCTGGGAGGTGATGCGTTTTAATTTGAGGATCAGCAGTGGCTCCACGTGCCAGGTCTCAGCCCAGGCTGCTCAGCTTGGCTTCTGCCTCCTGGGTTGTCATTGCTGCCCAGGCGTGAGGACACGCAGATACCTTTCGGTGTGTCCTGCCAAGATTCTTTTTTGGATGTGCCAAACTACTCCCTTGATATTTGCAGGAGGAGTTTGACTGTATTTATATTACATTGTTATTTCAGGGAGAGTTGCTCTCCCTTGCCTTATTTTTCCCTTGTGTTTTTTTTTTTTTCTTATTTTCATTGCCTGGAATCCAGAGATTTTCCATGGCAGGGGAAAGGCTGATAAATATTCTTCCAGCTGCCCTGGGAAGGGCTTTGGTGACAGGAGTGGTTTTCCTGGGGAGGCCCCTGTGCTGTATTCTCACAGGGGGAGAACTGGGAGCAGTGGGGAGGAGGAGCTGGGCCAGCCTCGGGCATCTCAAATCTGGGGCAGCTCAGGGCTTGTTGGCCACAGGGATCCTCCTGGGGCTGTTGCAGCTCTCCAAGACTTGCCTGGCCAAGAAATAGCCTGGAAGCCTGAAATTCAGAAAAACAAAAGGGTGCCAGGAGAGAGTGGGGCTGGGGATGCCCAGCTCCATCAGGCTGATTGCCATAACCATGGGATGGAATCCAAGCAGAAAAAGAGGCTTTGGACCTGTCCTGGAGATGATGTAGAGAGAGGATGAGGGTCCATATCCTCCTCCCTCCTCCACACCTCGCTGCTCTGAAGCTTTGTGTTGAATCCATGCCATGATCTCTGGGCTGCAGCAGAGTGTGCCAGCACCAGGCTGATGGCCCAAGCAGCAGGAGGGTTCTCTTGAACTTGGGTGTCCGTGTGACTGGGACTGTTTTCCTGCCTGGAGGAGGTTTTTGTGGCTCCTCAGTGAAGCTCTCTGGGGTCAGGAGCTTGACTTTGGTCATGCTGAGCCATGGGAGGTGTGTGGGGCAGGCACATCATGCAGACTCAGGATTGAGGGTGCAGGAGTGTTTGGTTTGTGATAATTCTCCATGCTTGGGAGGAGAAGGAGAATTTGTACCCAAGAAGTAAACCCAAGGAATTTTGATGGTTCTGCCCTTTCTGGCTTGCTGAGGAGAAAAAAAACCCAACTGCAACACAGAGGGAAGAGCAGGGCAGACAGGGGGCCTTTGGTTTACTATATCCCTGATGCAACATGCTCCAGGGTTCAGGGCACATGTGATGCTCTGGCAATGCCCCTGTGCCACCACCCCCCTGCAGAGGCACCGTCCTGGCACAGGTGGCCACAAGCCCAGAGACTTTTGCTGTCCCCTAAAAACCTAAAATAAAGCATTCTTCAGTGAAAGCCCTGAGCAGTTAAAGGCTTTGTTTGTTCCATCTCCTCCATCCTGGAGAGGATCAGTGGGACAGGCCACTTCCTGGGAAGTGGAGAGCCCACATGGCTTTGGGGGCTGTGTGGATTAGCCCAGCAGCCACCCATGGCTGTGTGCCTGCTGAAGGGGGCTTTAAGTCAACAGCAGTGAGGCAGTGTTTCTGCCCAGTGGTTTTTGGAGGGGGCAGGCTAACAAACAAGGACCAGGCAGGAGCTCCAGCAGTGTTAGCTAGAAGGAAAAAATAATTTAGGAATTACGGTTACCGGCAGCAGAGGTGATGCGTGATATGGTCTGAGTTGTGTGCTTTAATGAGATTCAGGTAATTAATTAATCCATTCAATACCAGCTGCAGTGAGGGGACTGGTGGAAGTGTAAGTCACCTGCCATAAAGCCAATGCTGGGGTCACCGGAGGAAAGAGCAGCTCCCACAGCTTCCAGCACATCCCAGCTCCCCATGCTGGCTCAGGACCCCCAGTGCTGTGGGAACCCATTGGTGCTTCTTGGCCTTAAATCCTCCTTAAAGCCACACACCAGCGACACACACACTGGCCATTCCCTGATTCCCCGTGCCCCATCCTGGGCTGGGCACTGCTCCTCTCCTCCGTGGCTCCATCGGGACGTGACCCCACCGTCTCCCAGCGAATGCCGATGACGTCCCCAGCGTGCCGGGGGAGCCAGGGGCTGGCGCAGGGACAGCGCTCGGGTTTCAGCAGCTGAATGATATCTTTCTGAACTCCAATTAGTTCCCAGGCACCGGCATAATGGCAGGTCCCCGCTGCCAAGATTAATGGCCCGGGTGGGATCCCGCGTGGCTGGGATGCCTGCGGGAATGCGGCGCCTATTTATAGCGGGAGGCGCAGGGCACGAGGCTGGTGGCCCCCGCGCCGCCGCCTTGGCCCCGGGGCCACCGCGGGCTGACCCGGCCCACGTGTCACAGCAGCGTGGCCTTTTATAGCTGTGTCCTGCGGGGCTCTGCCTCCCCGTAGCTCCTGCTGGGTGTCAGGATTTAAGAGGTTTTAGGGAGCTCACTGGGATAGGAATGAAGGGGGAGGTCTCAGAATCACTGTTCTGAGCTGGAAAGGACCCACAGGGATCATTGAGTCCAACTCCTGGCCCGGCACAGGACACCCCAACAACCCCACTACGTGCCTGAGGGCATTGTCCAAATGCTTCTTGAGCTGTCAGGCTTGGTGCTGTGACCCCTGCCCTGGGGCAGATGGGTGGAAGGTGGCTGGTGGTGGGCAGGGGAAGTTTGGGGGTGGAGGGCTGTGCATGCAGACTCTCTCCCGGTGGGAAAAGAGCTCCTTTCTGGCACCTCAGGCTGCCGTGGCTTGGCTGCAGCAATTGGAGCTGGGCCCGTCCAGCCACCTACAAATGTCGGCTGCAAAGCCAAGCTCATGTCCCCACTCCTGCCACCCACTCCACTGACTTGGAGCTGGAGTGGGCCCAGCAGGGATGGCTGGGGATGTGGCAGCAGACACGTGTCTGCCCCGTGCTGTTTTCCCCGAGCACCTCCGAAGGGAAGCCCTTTCCCTGGAGCCCCTTAGCTGGTTCCACGCTCCCCCAGGGCAGGACCGGGACTGGCATCCCGCCTGCTCAGCCCAGGTTTTTTGGCCAGTGTTGCCGAACTCATTCTCAGGATGTAGCTGTGGGGTCCCATCAATTTGTGGTGCCTTTCATCTCCCCCTTCCCTTAGACCCCAGGAGCCGGCTGCCATCCCAGCGTGGCTCTGAGGGCTCTGGCTCTGGAGCCAGGCTCACTGGGGACTGAAAGCTGATTTCTCGTCCCTGGTTTGAGGCTCACGGGGCAGTGCTGAGCTCTGAGCACGCACTCCATGGCTTTTCCTGGGGCCAGGCCAGGGTATTTGAGAGCTGTTACTCAGTTGGCAGCGGGACTGGCTGTACCAGCACAGTTTGGACTGTGTAATTTTGGCCTGGGACTCTTTCCCATTCCCCACCCCTGCCTGTGTGTGCTGCCCCAGGGACCTCATCAGGCTTGGATCTGTGAACTGATCTGGGTTAAAGGGAAGAAAAATGGGGGGGAAAGGCCATTTTTGTCCCTCTTGGGGGGCTTCTTGTGCTGGGATGGTGGGGCAGAGGTACTGGCAGGGTCCTAGGTGTCATGTGGGGGTGGGTAGGCCCTGGCACAGGTTGCCCAGAGAAGCTGTGGCTGCCCCATCCCTGGAAGTGTCCAAGGCCAGGTTGGACAGGGCTTGGAGCAACCTGGGCTAGTGGAAGGTGTCCCTGCCCACGGCAGGGGGTGGAACAATGTGATCTTTAAGGTCCTTTCCAACCCAAACCATTCTGTGATTCTGTGTCCCCCTCTGGTGTGACCTCATCCACCACAGGGGTGCAGGGCACAGGACCCACAGCACCCATGGGTGGCATCTCTGGGGAGGTAATGGAGGGGACACCAGCTCCAGTGAAGGGAGGGTGCAGGGGGTTTCAGCGGGGCAGGATGAGGCTGCCCTGGCCCATGCTGTGCCCTCAGCCGGGTGCTGCCTCTCTTCCAGTGAAGTACATGAAGGAGATCTCCCCTTACTTCAAGAACAACCCCGCGGGCGCCACGGTGAGCTGGGACCCCTCTCCTGGTGCCCCGCAGAAGCGATCCTCCCCCGTCCTGCCCCCTCGGGAGCTCCGGGAGGGCCGCACCGTGCCCCTGAAGATGTGCTACGTGTCCCGCAAGTGCCTCCCCACCGACCCGGAGCACAGGTCAGCGTGCGGGGCCGGGGGGGTGGCGATGCCGCCGCGCTGCCCCGGGGGGGCTGAGGGCCGGCGGGGACCCATCGGGGCCGTGTCCCTGCAGGTACCTGGAGGTGTGCTCGGCGGACGGCCGCGTCGCCCTCTTCCTGCGGGCGAAGGACGAGGCCACGGCGCAGTCCTGGCTCACCGCCATCCAGGCCAACGCGGGCGCGCTGCTGCCGCGGGTGAAGGAGGAGCTGCGGGCACAGCTGGCGGGCGCGGGCGCGGCGGCCGGACGGGATGTCAAACACGTGGGCTGGCTGACCGAGCAGGTACCCCCCGCGCCCCCGCACCGCCCCGTGCCACCACGCCGATGGTGGCCCTGACCCAGTCGCTTTGCAGCTCCCCAGCGCCGGCACCAGGAACCTCCTGGCCGTCCTCACGGAGAAGGAGCTGCTGCTGTACGGCAGCCTACCCCAGAGCCGGGATGCCCTGGGCAAGCCCACGCACAGCTACCCCCTCATCGCCACCAGGTAGGGGCCACTGGCCCGGTGCCCTCCTGTCCTGCACGGGGACGGTGGCAGGGGCTGGGAGTCAGGACAGAGCTCCAGGGGACATGGCAGAGCCCCAGGGTGGTGGCTGTGACCAGGGATGGTGGCAGTGACCAGAGGTGGCGGCAGGAACTGGGTGTCAGGACAGAGCCCCAGGCTGATGGCAGGGGCTGGTGGTGGTGGTGGCAGAGGCGTTTGAGGTGATGGTGGAGTCCCGGGGTGGTGACAGGGCAGTGGAGGGATGATGGCAGAGCCCTGGGCGCGGTGTTGGCAGGACACTGGGGATAGTGACAGAGTCCAGGAGTGGTGTCAGGGCGCTGGGGACGGTGGGCTCAGAGCCCCGGGGCTGGTGCGGGGTGTCGGTGCAGGGTGGTGGCAGTGTCCCAGGGTGGTGCAGAGCCCTGGGGCTGGTGCGGGGCTCAGGGCGGGGGCGGTGGCAGTGTCCTGGGGCGGTGGCAGTGTCCTGGGGCGGTGGCAGTGTCCCAGGGTGGTGGCAGTGTCCCGGGGCGGTAGCAGTGTCCCGGGGCGGGGGCAGTGTCCCGGGCGGGGGCAGTGTGTCCTAGGGCGGTGTCAGTGTCCCGGGGCAGTGGCAGTGTCCCGGGCGGGGGCAGTGTCCCGGGGCCGGTGCGGGGGCTCATCCCGGGGGCTCCGTGCGGGGGTTCGGGCACTGCGGGGGCTCATCCACGGGGCTGCAGCGCCCCCTGCCGGCCCCGCCGTGCAGCCACCGCGGAGCGGGATGAGGGGCTGGGACGGTGCGGGATGCGGGGCTGTGCTGGGGCTGTGCGGTGCTGAGATACTGTGCGGGATGCTGTAGCTGTGCGGTGCTGAGGTGCGGTGCGGGGTGCCGGGGCTGTGCGGTGCTGAAGTTTCGTGCTGAGGAGCAGTGCGGGGTGCTGGGACGTTGTGGAGTGCGGTGCGGGCGCGGTGCTGAGGTGCAGCACTGAGATGCGGTGCGGGCTGCGGGGCTGTGCTGGGGCTGTGCAGTGCTGAGATGAGGTGCGGGCTGCGGGGCTGTGCTGGAGCTGTGCTGGAGCTGTGCGGTGCTGAGGTGCGGTGCTGAGGTGCGGTGCTGAGGTGCGGTGCGGGAGGGAGATGCCGGGACGTTTCGGTGCGGGTGTGCGGCGCTGGGGCGGTGCGGGGCGCGGTGCTGGGGCTGTGCTGGGACGATGCGGTGCAGAGATGCGGTGCAGGGGTGCGGGGCGCGGTGCTGAGCGCTGTCCCTGGCGCAGGCTGGTGCACTCGGGGCCGGCGAAGGGCTCGGCGCTGTACGAGGCCGAGCGCTCGTTCGCGCTGCGCGCCGGCAGCCGGCTGGGCGTGCAGACCCACCTCTTCAGCCTGGAGAGCCCCCGGGAGCTCGCCCTGTGGACGCGGCTGCTGGTGGACGGCACCCACGGCGCCGCAGAGCTGGCCCAGGAGGTGTCGGCAGGTCAGCGGGGGGCCAGGGGGGCCGGGCGGTGCGGGGGGACCCCCGGCTCACCCCTGTCCCCTTCCCGTCCCCAGCCTGCACGTGGAAGGGGCAGGAGTGCACCCTGACCGTCCACATCGACAAGGGCTTCACCATCTCCACCACGGAGCCCGGGCTCAGCAGGACCATCCTGCTCCAGCAGCCCTTTGAGAAGCTGCAGATGTCCTCGGATGACGGCACCAAGATGCTCTACCTGGATTTTGGTGGCCCAGAGGGAGAGATCGTGAGTTGGCTTTGCCTTCAGCACCCCCCACCCACCAGTCCCAGGGGAGAGGGGGAGCAGAGAACCCGCCCTGTGCACAGCACCCATCCTGCCTGGCATGGGGGTGAGGCATGACCCATCCACCTGCCCCAGACAGGGTGCACAGCTCTTCCCAGGGCCCCCGGGTAAGGCTGTGGTAGAGCTTGGGGGGCTCTGGGTGGTCCCTGGCTGAAAGCTGCTCCAGGAACAGCCTTCCCCTTTGCGAACATCTCTCCCTTCCTTTCTTGCAGCAATTGGACCTTCACTCCTGCCCCAAAACCATCGTCTTCATCATCCACTCCTTCCTCTCGGCCAAGGTGACCCGGCTGGGGCTGCTGGCATGACGAGGGAGCGGAGCAGCCCGAGCCCCCGGCCTATCTATGCACCTCCCTCCTGGCCGAACCCAGCCCCGAGCCATCCCAAGGAGACTGGAGCCCCTGTGGGATCACACCACCCCCACCAAGGAAAAGCACCATCCGCTGGGAAAACCCCCTCCTGGGGCGTCTGGGTGAAATCCCCCTTGGATGGCAGCACTGGGACTTCTCCGGTCCCTCCTTCCCCTCCTTCCTAAGCAGCTGCAGAAGCCCAGTGAGAGCCCACGAGTGGCAGCAGGGCCGTCACCCCAGTGCCTTGAGAGATGATATTTTGTGTACAAAGAACCCGTTTGTATCCATGTTTTATATTTATATCGCCCACTTAAAAATGCTGACACGGCAGCTCTTCCCCGCCTGGCTCGGATTCCCCCGGAGAGTCCCCAGGTCGCGCAGCACAAGGACACGTGTCTGTTTTCCAGACAGGCAACCCGAGGACTGGAGGCCAAAGCCAGCCCCAAAGTGCTTAAGAGATGGGAACTGCAGATCAGCTGTGCTTGCCAAATTTCCCCATGTTGTAGGAAATGATAGGAACCACTTTTGTGTGTCGGGATGGGACAGCGCGTTTGGCTTTGCTCACTCCGGAGTCACTTTATTTCTCGGTTTTGGGGGGGAGGGTTGTCAGGTGGCTGCTGCAGAATAACTTCTTCTACGAACCAAAAGATTCTGCATGAAAATGTCTTTTTTTTTTTTTGGGTTGAATAAACCTTGCAGATCACAACCAGCAGGAGCCAAGATCCATCTCCTGATTTCACTTGGAGAAGTAGAAAGTCGGTTTGTGGACGATGCCTGGGCTCGGGGTGTTTTCCACCAGGGAAAGGAAGGAGTTTGTGTGGAGGCTGTGGGGCTTTGCTGTGAGCTGGTGGTGCTGGTCTAGGAGTGCTGAGGACGCTATGGGAGGATTCAGGTGGGAACAAACAGGTTGCTCAGAGCTCCATCTAGCCTGACTTCCAGGGATGGGACATCCACAGCTACTCTGGGCAACCTGTGCCAGGGCCTCACCACCCTCACAGGGAAGAAGCAGCACAGGAACATCTTATTTGGTGTAAAGAAATAGTTCTTATGGGGTGCACTGGGACTCAAATGCTCAGCTCTCTGTGGGACAGGGTGATGGAGAGGAAGGGGATGTCCCAGCACAGCCCCATGCCTGGCAGCAGGAATCTTTTGTGATGAACAAGCTCGTACTTTTTATTGCCCAGAACTGTCAGATTTCCAGGCGACCTCACAAAATGCATTTGCAGGAGGGAAAAAAAAAAGATCTCCCCTCACGTTTCTAACTGTTAAATCAATACAAGTAATTTAGAAACAGATGGTGTATTTTCTATGATCAAAAGCATGTCTGCACAAGGAAACACATTATTACTGCAATTTGCCTTCCTCTTCTTGCCCTAGAGCCATTACTCTTTGGGGTTCATTGCAATAAAAGAGGAAATCACTCCCAGTCCAGAGCAGATTTCCTATTAATCTTACAGACCACAAGCTGCCTTGACTTCCCCAGTGCAGCTCAGGCTCTGTCCCACTCCATGCCTGGACTGTGAAGGAAATAGCTCAGTTTGGAGATGGATATTTTTCTTGGATTTCTTTGCATTTGATATTGGTGATGGTGTGAGGATTTTTTCCCCTCCTGTATTTTTGGTGGTTTCTGAGCCTCGTCATCCTTCTGGCACCATCCTCTGCTTAATGGGACCCTTTCCCCAGGGATGCTCCTGCAAAGGGACCTGTGAATAAGACAACTGCCTCTTATAATAAGGATCTGGAGCACCAGGAGTGGCTGAGGGAGCTGGGGGGGCTCAGCCTGGAGAAAAGGAGGCTCAGAGGGGACCTTCTCACTCTCTGCAACTCCCTGACAGGAGGGGGGTGCCAGGTGGGGGTTGGGCTCTGCTCCCAGGGAACAAGGGATAGGACAAGCAGAAATGGCCTAAGTTGTACCAGAGGAGGTTTAGATTTGGAATCAGGGAAAATCTCTCCACCAAAAGGGATGTCAGGCACTGGAAGATGTTGCCCAGGACAGTGGTGGAATCCTCATCCCTGGAGGGATTTAAAGGGTGTGTGGATGTGACACTTGAGGACAGTCCTGGGTTAATGTTGGACTCGATGGTCTTAGAGGGCTTTTCTACCTAAAATTATTCTGTGATTCTTCTGATGTGGGGCCTTGTAACATAAACCACAGAGAGAGAGAGGATAGAAACTACCTCCCCAAGAGAAGCTCGTGGCAGCTGGAGACCTCTCCCAGAAACATTCAGACATCCTAAATCAACACTGAATTTCTCTGGCCAGGGAAGATTTTGGCATTGGCAGCAGGGACTAGATCCCAGTGTGGGATGGCATCTGTATGGAGGAATGAGTGCTCCTGCTTTGGCCCACCACTGTATTCCCCAGAGAGGAGGAACAGCTCCTCAGGGTTTTGTTCTGCCAGGCACTTTTATGGCAGAAGGACTAATATTTTTGAAAGCAGCTTTAAAATAAATATAACAAACTCTGCTTATAGAGCTGGGATGATGAGAACGGGCTCAGGAAAAAGCAATTTCCTCAGCTCAGTCTGAGGCAACTGGAGTTTTGTTTGGCCACCGTGACTGGAACAACTCAGGGAAGGGGGAATTTAAAGGTGCTGCAAGTGTTGGAAAATGGATGGCAAATGAGAAAGGAGGGGGGAAAAAGTCCTATTCTGCTCTCTACATGGAGCTCTTGGGATGCTGGTTGCCAGAGGGAGGCCAAAATGGGGATGTGAATGGATGCAGAGAAACTTTGGCACCCAAAGCACTTCGGTGCCACCCATGGAGAGAAGTGGGTGATGGCAGTGGGGGAGTGGCTGCAGCCTGGCTCTGGTGCAATCCCTTCCCCTTTGGGAGCAAATCCAGCCAGGCCATGGCGAGCTGAGCTCTCCCTTTCCTCCAGGAGGAAACCCAGCACTGCCGGCATCCCCGGCAGCAACGTCACAGGCAGGAATTTTCCCCAGAAACGGCTTTTCCAGGTTGTAAGACCTGAAAAAAACAGCCCCGAAGTGAAGGAGCCAGAGAGGGAAGAGAGAGATGCAGCGGGAAGAGTGATTAGGTTGTCCCCAGGTGTTTGCTCACCCACGGCAGAACACAGTTTCCCTCCCGATACCGCTTGTACTTTCCATTAGTCAGCCCTGACCTTTTAGTGCCGTAATCAAACAAGACAACCCAACACTTAAATCTGAGCGTTTAACGCTGACATTTACAATTGGTTCTCGAGCTGGAGAGACCAAATGAAAATTTCCTCGCAGACAGAATGCTGCAGGGCTGGGGAATCAAATCATTCCATCGCTGGATCGCAGGCGTGCCGGCCCCCTTGGCTGCCCCGTGCAGCGGGTGGTATTTGGACTGGAGCCCTGTCAGTACAAAGTCAATATTCACCTGGAGCTTGTGCATCCCAGGGACATCACCCGGCTGGGGCACGAGGAAACTGTATTTGGCATTTAATGGGTGTAAACAGGAGTGATCTTACACAGGCAGGAGCCCTCTGGGAGTGGGGAAAGCTGCGTTAAAAGTTAAGGATACAAGGCAGTAATGAGGATGTTTTCTCTTGTTCAGCCTTGGCTGGAATCCTTGCCTGAAAAGCAAGCACTTGGTTCATCCCTTGGTGCATCCTGTGGCATATTCCTTGGTGCATCCTGTGGCACATCCCCGGGCACATCCCTCCCTGCATCCCTGGACACATCCTGTGGCACATTCCTTGGGGCATCCCTTGGGACATCCTTCGGTGCATCCCTCTGCACATTCCTCAGTGCATCCCTTGGTTCATCTCTCAGTGCATCCCTTGGCACATCCCTTGGTGCCTCCACAGCCCCACACGTGCCCCGCAGTGGCAGCTTGGCTGTGCCATCCCTGTGCAAATCCCTGCACAAGGATGGGCTTTTCCAGCCTTGTCTCTGAGGGATCCAAGCCCTGAGTATTTACTGGTGTTTGCCTGGTGAGGATATAGGGCTGGTGGGATACTGGGAGCCAGAACACCCATGGCAGCCCCCAGGTCCTGCACCCACCCCACTGTGGCTCCCCCAGCTCGTCCTCATGCAGCAGTGACTGTTTCTTCTCCTCCCGTGTGATAAATTCCCACTGGAGCCACTTGATTAAGTTAAATCCATTAAGAAAAAGTCTGGACAAGGTTTCCCACGTTGCTGTTCACCATGTTCAGTGCTCCTCCTGCCTCCTCCAAAGAGCAGCCAAAGCAGATGGGCTGCAAACCAGGACAGCACAGCTTCCCCTTCCCATTCCCAGGAACAGCCTTGTGCCATAAATAGGCTTAAGCACTCCAAAATACTCTGAATCAGGACTCTTTTCTTCCTTTGCTAATACGAGGTTTGAATAAATTAATATATTGTTTAAATTACAGAAAACAGAGCTTCAGCTGTCCCAAACACTTGTTGTTGCTGTATTTTCCCAGCACTGCTCCATGTGCTGCTTTCCTGAAGCACCTCCTGTGTGGGGACATCCCATTGTGATTTGACATGAGAACTGGGATCAGCATTTGTGTCTGCAACTACAGGTTCTTGGGGCTGTCCTGTGCAGGGCCAGGATTTGGACTCAATGGTCTTTATGGGTTCCTTCCAACTCAGGATATTCTACGATTCTATGAAAAAGCAATATATATTTATATATATATATATTTAAATGCTTATTTCTCACTTTTATCAAATTGCACCTAAAAATTGCACTTTAAATGTGGTCAGCTCTCATGTGTGGGGTGGTGCTTGGGGCACCCAAACACCCCATCCTGCTCCATGGGTGCTGCTGGAGGCCAGAGATGGGAGGTAAGGATGTGCCTCCAGCCTACTGGGTCCTCATTGCTGCATCCTGATAATTAATAATTTCCCCTGTGCCTGCTGGGCTGCTGCTTTCTCCCATGCTCCTCCTCCTTTCATTCCTTATGGAAAATACTTGTTCCTCCTTCCCTGGTCCCCGGTGCTGGGTGCTGTGCCAGCTGCTGAGTCCCCTTCCAGCCACCTCCTGTGCCATCTCCATGGGAACAGTGTGGAATGGCACAGATGGTGGGAGAAATGAGTTTTGGGTCACTCCCTTCTCCCCTTGGTCAGAGGTAAATCAAACTGGGGGGGATGTTTGAATGTGTGATGTTCTCAGGGAGAATCTCTCCCAAAACTCCTCGGGGCAGCCGGTGGTGGAAGTTTTCAGCCACATCCTTGGGTGGGAATCTGCTTGTCTGGGTGGGGGACAGAGCTGGTTGTTGTGGGAAGGGAAATGTTGTGCCCAGGTGAGACCCTCTAGTTCAGCTGGAGCTTTTCCTGCATCTCTTTGAGCTCCTCTGGGCCATCACTCCACCTCTCCATGCCTCTGTTTCTGGCAGCACCACAAGGTGTAGCTGGGAATATAAACACCTTTTACCTGGTTTCCCACCCCCCCAGTTTCTCCATGGGGCTGAGCCCTATTTCCCTTTCCCATCTGCTCTTTCCCTGTCATCACATACTCTCCAGGAGCTTGACACCCCTTCCCAGGATGCTCCTGTGTGCTCCAGCTGCAGGTGAAGGGGCTCTGAGCCTCCTTTCCCTCCCTGCTGGCATCACCTGGGCATTCCTGTGTCCCAGCCACTGCACAGAGATTCTTCCAGCAGCCTCCTGAGCCCTCCAGGATGAACCACCATGAGGTACCTCCTCGTTTTCATCCTCCCCCATCTCTTTGCTGTCTCTTGGGGCTGTGGATGCTGCAGAGACCCAGGTGGTGGGTGATGCCTGAGGAGATGCCCAGTCTGGGCACAGGAGGTCCCTTGCACGGCTGCTGGTCTTGGGGACACCACTTAAACCACCTCCCACTCAACTCTAACCTGTGAACCCAATCTGCATCAGCATCTGCTCGTGCAAGTTCATATAAACTGTTAAATCCACTCAACACCTCACTGCAGCCATTGCCTTTTAAAACTTCAGTAGCAAACCTCTTGCCTTGTTGTAGGCAATTCTCGGAGATTTGCTCTTTTGGGAGTTTCTGTGTGGTGTTAGTCTGCTTTCACTCATTTCTACAATTTCTAGTTAAAAACAGAATAACAAAAAAAGGCAGGAGTGCAGGGAGAGGGAAGCAAATGGGTCTCACGCAGCATCTCTGGTCCTGATGGGACAGAGGGAAATGAGCCCACAGGTGATGCCTTGATTATCATACTCCCCATGAAACAAGGAGGCAGTGGTGTGGATGCTGTCCCTGAAAACAGGACAAATTCAGCACAAAGCCAGAGTTTTTCACCCCAGCTCTGCCACTCACCTGCTTCGGGAGCAGGGATGG